CGGGGCACCCCGGGAGAAGCGCGGAGCAGCCGGCACGGCTCCCCGGCTGCTTGCTGGCCCCGCGGCTCCCAGAGCATGCCTGCCTCTTCCCATCTTGTCTCCACTCTGCTCGATTTGTATGGGTTTTTTTTCCTTATCACGCGTTTCAAACACCATCTGGACTTGAAATGATCAGCTCCCGACGGTGGGGGGGGTGAGTCACAAACCTGCCTCCTCGCTGCATGGGGAGACGAAGCTACCCTGGGCCCTGCTCCCACGGGGCTGGGGACCCACACAAGCCCCCCAGGAGACAGTGAGCCGTGGGAAAAAAGAGCCCGGAGGGTCGGATCCAGGAAAGCTCCCATCCACCTACTAAGATTTTCTGAACTGGCTGGCGTCGGTGGAGCGTGCGAGTGTCTGGCCACAACGAGGGATGCTCGGCAGGACAGATGGCATCTCCGGCTCCCCACTACTGCTCAGCTGCCCAGCTGAGCCCAGCAGAGCCCAGTGTAGCTCTAGCCTGGGCACTGGCAGCACTGACTGGCTCTCTCTCATGGCTTGCAGTGCTGATCGGAGCTGAGAGCACACGCGCGCTCTCCAGTGCTGCTGCTTTTCCTGCCTGCTGCGGCGTAACCTGATTTTTTTTTTCCCCCTAATGTTGGGTAATTAAGAGGGAAATTCAATTACCACTCAGCAAATATGCAAATGAGGTGGGAGAAGCAGCCTGTGTTTCCCCGGGCTGGGGAGGACGGAGGGTGCAGGAGCTGAGCAGCACGTTTTGCTCTCGTGTATCCATAGCTCTGGGTCGTGCACGGTGCCTGATGCCAACCGAGTGCCCAGAGCAGGAGATGCAAACAGCGCTGAGCCCTGCCCCGTGCCAGCATCCCCGCTTCCATGGGGTCGGACACGAAGCTGGTGCCTTGGCCCTGCGGTGCTGGCAAGCACCAGCGCCTGTTGCTTCTCTCCGCAGAAGGGTGCTGGAGGCGGCCAAGAGGGCGAACCAGACGGGACACTTCATCTGGATGGGCTCGGACAGCTGGGGCTCCAAAATCTCCCCGGTCCTGCACCTGGAGGAGGTGGCTGAGGGCTCCGTCACCATCCTGCCCAAGCGGGTCTCTGTCAAAGGTAAGGGGCTGCACTCGGTGGGCTCCCTCAGCTCCCCCCTGGGTCGGCTGTCCCCCCCGATGGCATGCCCTTAACTGCAAGTTTTTGGCTGTGAAAGATTCTGTGTTTTGCAGTGGGTCTTCCCTGAGTGGGTTTTCCAGCCTGCAGCTTTGCCTGAGTGGCAGCAGGGACACAAACCCACCGCACTCTTATGTGTCCCTAGACCCCATCGCTCACAAGACCCTCCTTCCCTCTGCCTGGGGATTTTTGGGCCATGTTAAGCATCTCTCTGCCATCCCAGAGATTTATCCCCTCCGTCCCCTCTTCCCCGGCCAGGTTTCGACCGCTACTTCTCCAGCAGGACGCTGGACAACAACCGCCGAAACATCTGGTTTGCTGAGTTTTGGGAGGAAAATTTCCACTGCAAGCTGAGCCGGCACGCGCTGAAGAAGGGCAGCAGCATCAAGAAGTGCACCAGTAAGAGCTGTGGGGGTGCTGTGGGCGAGCGGAGGCTCGAGGGTGCGTGTTGCTCTATCGCACGGGGTGCACAGGGACGTGAAGGCGATGGCAGAGAGCCCAGGGCAGGTGTTAAAAAAGTTTCGCTCGTTTTCCCCTTATGGCCTTTCAGCTCAGCCACGTCCTTATTGCTCTGGAGCTGCCAGCCCAGCTCAAGGCAGCTACATGGCAATTAGTGCTCCGTGCATGGCGGTCTCGGTTGTGAATATGGTTCTTTTTGGACTAAGCATCAAAGCCAGGTGGGAATTTGGGGAAGGCTGGAGAAACGCTGGCGCTTCTGCAGTGTGGGGAAGGTGGGCGGTGCAGAGCCGCTCGTCTGCGCAGGCACTCGTGTGTCCATTGGGCTCATGATGGCGGCG